CTGGAAGGCTCCTGTATGGGGCCACTGAGCTGAGTCCGCCCTGGACATTTATCCTGGGATGGCGTGGATGAGGGTAGGTGTGGTGGGGTGTCTCCTCAAGTTTCCTCGCAGCTCCTCATGGGCTATTAGAAGCATTTTCATCTACCAGGATGTGACGGTGCCCATGGCCTGTGGTGCTTATTTCTGTGGGTTCTTCATCAAGCTCAAAAGGTCTTCATTGGATTCCTTTATTGGTCTGGTGCTGCGGAGGAACCGTAGGAGGGGAAAACACCAGAGGGAAAAACGCCCTTTGGGTGTGAAAATCAGACAATTCTGTTGTTTTCCACGTCCTTTTAAAGCTGCAACTCAGAAAGTCACTTAGCAGAGGAGGGTTTGCATAAGCCTGGAGATTAAGTTTCCAGATGTTATTTAGAAGTCTAATACAGAAATGATCTGACATCGGCATCGCATCCATGACAGGGAAGCTGTCGAGACAGAGAACACCCTGTTAGAAATGCTCTCCTTAAATGTGTTCCTCTGTAACTAGTCACTGGAATTGGCAGTGATTTCCCGTGCAATGCAATATTTTTCGTTTCACCTTTAATTTCTGAAATTGTTTTCTAAAGTAATGTCACTTGTGGGGAAAGTAGGCTGTTGCTGGAGAACTAAATGCCCTCTGTTTCCTTTCAGGGGACTGGGAATGCAATCACCTAAGAAGGCTGGGCCAGGCCTCCCCAGACTGTGGAGAACCATTACCAAGATGACTCCCCACTGAGCCAGGCAATCTTGCATCTCTGGCAACCGGGCCATGCTCAAGCTGAGAGAAATCATCGCGGGTTCACACATCCACAGCAGCCTTTGTCTGATGACCATTTAAATCTCTGGGGACGAGAGTTTCTTCCCAGTGCCAGTGGGTCAGACTGCCCTCGTGAACAATGACAGCTAAGTCTTGAAACACTCTTCCCTCTCCTAACTCTCCCCGGTTTGACATTTTGTCTCCCTCTGTCCGGTCGCTTAAGTCGGACCATGGTCTTTTTTGTGGGACACCATGCCTTCTAAAATGACTCACAGTCATTGGCTCTCCTGCCTCCCTCGCTGCTCGGATGGAAAAGCTTTTAAGCTTAGTTCTCGGTGTTTTCTTTTTTTCTCCTGGAAACTTTCATCATTGAATTAGGAAAAGATTCAGAAGCAAGAGGTGATGGAAAGCAACTTTATGTAAAGAGGAAAAAAAAAAATCAAAGGCGAAGGTGAGGAGGATGTCTCTGAGAGTGAACATTGAGAGCTGCATGCTGTTATCTCCTGTTGTATCCCCTCACGGAGTGACCTTTGGCACTTTCATTAAGTGAAAGGAAAATGGCAGGCTCTGCATTTTTGTCCATCCTCTCAGGACTTTCCCCAACCTCGATGTATTTCTATTATCAGCCTTCCAGACTGTCAGAAAAAAATCTCTAGAATAGTTACACTTCAGGGGGCCTTTCCTTCTCTGTGAAATGTAATGTCCAAAATACTGGAGGCAGATGATGAGATTTCTATTGGAATGCAAATGCATCACTCCGGAGGGAGAAGATACCAGGGCAGTGTCTTCCCAGAGAACTGCGGTGTATCAGATTGCATCAACCGGTTTACAGAGTTCCAAGAGGAAAGGATGAAGGAAAGGTCAACTCCGGGAGATGATTGAGGTTCATTTTATAATACGATCATTTGATGGCTTGCCACTTAAGAAAGATGGAAGAGAATAAGGGTCATATTTAGTAGAAGGAGAAAAAGAAAGAAAGTAGAATACACCAGAGGAGATGATTTACACAAAATCTTGGCAAACTGGTGTTTTATTGGTGAGTAAAGATGTGAGTAGATAGATACCTTAAATAATTCAGCACTTTTGAACATGAAAATAGAGAATTAAAAATGCCAGTATCTTTTGCTAAATTGGTTGTACTTTGTTGTTGTTTTTCAAGACAGAGTTTCTCTGTATAACAGCCCTCGCTGTCCTACAGACCAGGCTGGCCTGGAACTCACAGAGATCCACCTGCCTCTGCCTCCTGAGTGCTGAGATTAAAGGCATGCACCCACACCTGGCAATTGGTTGTGCTTTGTTCTAAGTTACAGATAGACAGAAAGAGTCATCTTTGCCTTTTGGCCCAGGGAGTTGTGTATCAACTGACTTGCAGAGGCACAAAGGAGCTGCTCTGTGACATTGCCTTATAAATTGAAAGATCAAAATCTGTTTTCCCATCCACACTTGAAAACCCTGTCTGTGAGAACAGAGAGATTTATGGTTAATAAATGTTAAGTTCACCTGTATAGAGGAGTAATACACTTTCGCTATTATTTATAAACTACTCTTGGGATAAGGCAGATCTGACACTGCCTGTGGGTGTGTGCTGGTCTAACCCAAAGACCACGTGGTTTTCACCACTTTATTGTCTATCTGCAAAGAGAGAAAAGAGGTGGAATAAAAGATGCATTTTTCTCACGTGGTTCTCTGGTTTGGTGGGAAAGAGTGTTAAAAATTGCAGCTAAGGAACATTTTGGAATGAGGTTCAATGTGACAATACCTTCTTCCTCCTTGAGAGCAGCAATGATGGTAGCTTAGCTGTTGGGTACTGGTCTGTGGACAGAGCTATTGCTGTGCTGTCAAGTGTGTTGTGAGGAAATACTGAATAGGTAGAAAAGGAAAAAAGGGTCCTTTGACGAAAAGACTGACAGTGTCTCCAAATAGCATTAGCCCGTAGGCCAAGAACAATTTTCCTATCCAAATCAATGAAAAATGTAGTATTGGTTTTAGATTGCATCTGTCTATGTGTGTAGAGGTCAGATGGCAGCCTCACGTGTTCTTTCCCAGATGCCATCCACCCTGTGTCTCTCACTGGGACCTGGGATTTGACAATTGGCTCGGCTGGCTAGGCAGCTAGTCCCAGAGAGTCACCCATCTCTTCCTCCCCAGTGCTGGGATTCCAGGCAAAGACCCCCTCTTCTTCTCTGACTGAGCTATCTCTGTAGCCAGAGTCATTCGTCATCACCATCATCATGTCATCATCATTGTCATCATCATCATCATTGTCATCATCATCATCCTCACCATCTTCATCCTCATCATCGAAGAATGATGCATCTACTGTGTTGGAAATCATTGTGAGACAGGAATATTTTAGAAGACAATAAAGGCCAGAATGCTATTGGTTACAAGAAATATTTCCTTTGTTAAAAGCATGCCACTTTCCTTTACAAGAAAATTTTTAATGAAACTCATCCAAAAGATGTAAGATGTGTTGAATTGAAAAGTTTCATTGTTGGCTTGGCATTCGATAGGAACTCTAACTACCAGGTGAAAGATGTTGTTAATTGAATCTCATTTGATCAGATGGCACAAAAGCCACGTGCAAGTCAAAATCAATTTGAGGCCTTCTATTTTTCTCCTAGTAACTTGTGACTTGCAGTTTTTTAAAATGTCAAAATTCAAATATCTTTCACCATTTAATTTTGTGTTATTATCATCACACCACTCAAAACCCACTTAGAAAATGAAGTCACCTTTAACCTTAATAGCTAGAATTAAGCAAAGTAGGTAAAGCAACAGTTCTTGGGGCTCAAGTATTTTCAAGTGCTTATAACAGCTCCTTGGTGTCTGCTTCCAATAATAAACACAGAGCCAGCTTCCTGCTCTCTCTACAGTGTGAACTATTAGTCACTCACTTAGCCATTCCCATGGGGCTGCAGCACCCAGTCTCATTTGGATGAGTCACTTGGGAGGCTCTGAAGCAAAATGCTCATGAAAGAAGCTGTTCCAAGAGGGATTTTTGACAGCATCCTTTGTCTAAGTGATGTGAGCAGATCCTAGCAACCGGAGGCAGAGGCCGAAGTTTGTGAGCAAGTGGAGATCTCGAAGACACTCTCTTTTTCAACTATGTTTGCTATAATAACTAATTTTTAAAAGTTCAGATTATGGGGCTAGAGAGATAGCTCAGAGGTTAAGAGCACTGACTGCTCTTCCAAAGGACCCAGCCGGGTTCAATTCCCAGCACCCATATGGCAGCTTACAACTGTCTGTAACTCCAGTTCCAGGAGATCCGAAACCCTCACACAAAACACCAACCCACATAAAATAAAAATAAATGTAAAAAAAAATCAGATTATATTTTATTCACTTATGCACAGATATGCATGTACCCTGGCATGCATGTGTAGGTCAGAGAACAACTTGGAGGAGTTGATTCTCTCCTTCTAACACCTGGTATTGAACTCAGGTTGTCGTTCTTGGCAGTGGGGACTTCTAACCACAGAGCCGATGTCTTTTAAAAGACATCATTAAGATTCTGTATTAACCTTTTCCAACTGTGTAAGGACCAGTTGGCCCTCTCTTGTAATCATCTCCCCCTGAAACATCTGGAATAAGCAAAGCTTAATTTCAAGTAGAGTCGACTGGAACTGTGGCCTACTAGGCAAACCAATCAGGCAGGGATATTTTCCTGGCAAAATTCATCATTTAAGTTAGATACTTAAACGAAACTGAAGAGGGGCCAGAGCGATGGCTCTGCAGTGGGGAGCACTTGTGGCTCTTCCAGAGGGCCTGGGGTTCAATTCCCAGCACCCACACAGTTGATGACGGCCATCAGTAACTTCAGCTCCAGAGGCCGGAGGATCCAACCCTCTCTTCTGGCTTTCACTGGCGCTGTGTGTACATGGTGAGCAGACATGCAGGCAACTAAAACACCCACACACACAAAAGTAAAAACAAGGAAACCTTTAACAATCGTTGGAAGATGTAAAGATGTTGAGGGAAGCCCCTCCCAGCTCCATGTGAAATGATGACGTCATAGAACACGTGGGGAAAGGTCAGAGGGGCTGTTGGCAGGAATTGTCACATGGAAACGCTGCCACAGGGACCAAATAGGACCAGAGTAAGGGAAGCTACTTCCTGTAAAGCAGTGATTCTCAACCTGTAGGTCGCAACCCCTTTGAGGCCGAACAACCCTTTCACGGGGGTCGCCTAAGACCATCGGAAAACACAGGTATCTACATGAGGATTCACAACAGTAGCAAAATCATAGTTATGACGTAGCAATGGAAATAACGTGATGGTTGGTGACCACCACACCCTGAGCACTGTACTGAACCGTTGTGACGTTAGGAAGGCTGAGAACCACTGCTGTAAAGGGTTAGAATGTCTTTCGAGCTTCCCAACCAACCCTCCGGCCGTCCTATGGCGATCTCTTCGTAGATGCTATCTGGTGATGCTGCTAAACTGAGCAGTAAGACTTCTCTTTAGCGTCTCCATTGCTCTTCCTTTGGTTATTATCTTCCTCTCCCAGTACATCCTGTTCTTTGATGCCCTTTCTTCAGCCTGGCATCTTCATGTCACACAGCATTCTCCTTTCCCAACTTCCACAATGGCCTGATCTGTGCTGTCTCGGGGTCTTGATGGGTGGTGGAGTAATGGTACCCTTTGATGAGCAGTGGATGCTGAAATTTCAAATGAAAGCTGGGTCTCACTGTATTTCTGTGGCTGCAATTTAAAAGGCCAGTTTGGATCAACTCTCTTTTAACTTCAAGGATTGACTCAATGGGGAAAGGTTGGATTGTTCAAGCTTATGGAGGAACAATCAGTCAGCAGAGGGATCTATGTTTTCTCGACAATGTACCTTCCAGGTGACTCCCCGTCCCTCTTTGTCTCAGACCACTGCTTACCCACTGATGCCGGAAGTCACATGGACCCTACTACAAGGTTTAGAGTACATCTTCAGAGCAGGGCTTGGGCAGCCGAATGGTTCTCCGCAACAGAAGCTTCTGGAGAAGCGTGATTCAGTGCTCCCTCTCATAAAAGGTTATTGCCGATTCCATGAAACTTGCAGACACTTAGGGAGGGCACCTGCCACTCCCCGTTCCCCCCTCCATGTCGCCACGTCTCAGCGGCTTTGCTCTTCCTTCCGTGATTTCACAGTCGAGGGCTCCCAGGAACAGCCAGAGCGGCACACACTGGGTAACCAACATTTTCCCATTAAGTCTCCACTTCCCTTGCTTTATAATAGACTCCTGTCAGACCACAGAGTTGCCGTACATAAGACAGACGAGCTTTAAAACTCGTGGAGAGAAACGTCTTTCAACTGCTTTTGAAGGGACCGAATGTTACACAGGAAGAGAATCTGAGAAAGTCTCCTCATGCGTTTGGCTACCCATCTGGCTGACTGACTTCTGAAACAGCTGGAGTTTCCAAATGTAAAGTCGGGCTTAAAGATGTCCTGGGTGAGAAATACTGCCTCAAGTTTAAAAGGAAAAAAAAAAAAGGTAAACACATTTAGTAAAGTTAATAGTGGCTAAATTTCTAAGTCTACGCTTGTGAAATTCAATCTGCTCATTTGCCAGGGCATGATTTACTCACAGTTCATAAACACATTTAAGTGCTCAGTAAGAAACACACAATCTCCTCAAAATTTATGGGAAATTGAAATAACTCCTTCAGTGTAGAGGATGGAAAGATCATGGTGCATATATATTATATATGCATAATTATATAATTATATTTGTATATATGTAATATGAAATACATTATAATGATGTGTTTATACACACACACACACACACACACACACACACACTATAGATATTTGTTTGTTTGTTTTTTTGAAACATGATCTCACTAGGTAGCTCTGGCTGTCCTACTCACTCTGTAGACCAGGCTGGCCTCGAACCCAGAGATCTGCTTGCCTCTATCTCCCAGGTGCTGGGATTAAAGGTGTGTGACAGCGAGATGGGTTTAGCACCTTTGGTGGAAGAGCTGAGACTTATTTCCAGGGCAGGAGCTCTTGAGAAAGCTTTAAGCTCTTAAAGCCTGTGGATTAATATAGACAAATGAAACTCAAGCAGTTAAAGTCTTAAACTTCGAGTCTAAAGCGAAAGGTCTGACTTTGTTCAATGGAGAGTTTCAATGCAGAGAATGAGGAACTTCCTCCCTGATCACTAAAGTGAGACATATTTATTGTAGAAAGCTTGGGAACTCCAGAAGAGCAGAAGTCAGAATAGGTGGGGAGGGGTCAATGGCTCAGGGGGGAAAATGCTTACTGGGCAAGCATGGGAGCCTGAGTCCAGATCTGTAGCGTCCATGTGGAACCCTGGGCATGTCAGCTCATTCCTGCAATTCTAGCACTGGGAGGTGAGGGCGAGGGATGGCAGAGACAGGCAGGTCATCGGGACTTGCTGTCCAGTCAGTCTAGACAGAACAGTGAGTTCTAGGTTCAGTAAGAGACTCTGTGCAAAGCAATAAAATAAGAAACCCAACACGAACCTTTGGCCTCTTCATGCAAACGCACAGGTAAGCTCACCTACACACATATGGACACACATGCATACCACATACACACACACACACACAAAATCTTTTTAAAAAAATCAGAATAAAATCGTGTCAAATCTTGTCAATCAAACACAATTGCTGTTATATTAATAAACATCGCATCTTTTCTCCTACGTAATTGGCCAATTTTCTTTAATGAGGCATCATTCTTAGTCAACATGCTGGTTGAATCTGCTTCTTTGAATTAAAAATGTATCCTGAAGTTTTCTGGAAGGAGACTTCTGGGAAATGAGGGTTTAATATCATCTGGAGCAGAGAAAGAATCAGAAAGAGGGAAAAGGGAAGCAGAGACACAGCAAACCAAAGACCTCTTGCAGTGTTCTCTGTTAGATAGGAATATGAATGCAGGAAGGTTGGGGGATGGAGACCTCATTGTTTTTATAGTCAAAGACCAAAATCTAGAGGCATAGATTATGCCTCTAAAATTAAGGACCTCATTCAGGCCCCAGTTCCTTCTCCTACATGCTTAGGACCTTTGAACATGCTTCTGAACATCTCTGAGTCTTTGATTCAAGAAAACTGAGTGATTAGCATAGGTGAGTCCTAAGTGTGCTGGGGGATATCTTTCTATATGCTGCGAATATATGTTGTTCCTGTTGGTTAATAAATAAGCTGCTTTGGCCCATGGCAAGGCAGCTTAGAGGCAGGCAGGAAATCCAAGGAGAGAGACAGGAAGAAGAAAGGAGAATCAAGGAGATGCCAGCCAGGAGACGCAAGATGTGAAAGTACTGGTAAGCCACAAAGCCATGTGGCAATGTACAGATTAATAGAAACGGGTTAGGTTATAAGAGCTAACTAGCAAGAAGCCTGCCATAAGCCATATAGTTTGTAAGTAATATAAGCTTCTGTGTGCTTACTTGGGTCTGAGTGGCTGCAGGACCGGATGGGACACAGGAAAACTTCTGACTACATAGGTGTTTCATATATGGCTTCTTATCTTGCTGGTAGCTTTGTGGGGAAGGATTTATTAACTATAATTTCCACATCAATCCATAGAAAGGTCATAGGGTTAGCCTTCCCATGTGGCAGAGCCAGCACCCAAACCCAGATCTAGTCTCCTTCCTTGTCATGTTGGTGCTCCTCACTCCTCACACACGACACAGAGCTACTGCTCCGTTTTCCTCCCTTCTTCCAGGGTGTCAGGAAGATGAATGACCCATCACACAGGAAACATTTTGTAACTGTTAAACACAGTGGGCAGAATCTTGTTCGAGTCATCTCAAACCAGTTCGATTTCAAGCCATCCATTTTAACACACACTTGGGTCACCTGTCTATCTTCACACAATACATGAAGTGTGAGGTCTCTGAATGGCCTATCGAGGATGGCTGAGCATGAGCTTTATCTGGCATGGCAGTCTTTGGTACTCTATCATTTCTCCTGTTTGCCTGAACAGCCCTCTGTGGCTCCTCAGTGAAAGTTCATGCCAGTCTGTAAGTTGATGACAGGCCTTTTAGCCCAGCCAGTTCCAACACAGGCTGCTGCAACCTGGACAAAATAAACCACACTCCTCTCTGGGTCCCGACACTTTGAAGAAATGGAGGATGACTTTTCAAAGATTGCTTTGGAGAAATAAAACTTGAGCTTGCGCCCTTTCCAGATGTCCGGCCAGGAAGCCCCAGGTGCAAGTGAATCAGCCGACAGGGTCCTCTCACTGGAGACAGCACAAGGCCCCTGTGTCCACAGGCAGCTGGGCAGTGGCTGGGCTCTTGGCGATGCTTAGCCTCAGATGTGGCCCGGCGGAGGCTGATTCAGGGGGAGACGCTGCCTCTCACTGAGTCATGAGCCTGTCTTGGAACTTTGCAGGCTTGTGCTTAGGTAACTTGCCCAGTGTTTGTGGTTCACTTTCCACAGCTGACAGCTGAGTCCAATGTGGTGGGGAGGGGGCAGGGGCATGGGGGACAAGTGGACCTACAGAGGGAGAGTGAGTGATGGTGTGTGGCAATAAGGGAGGTTGAGTTGCTATTTAAAAGACTCAATCAAGGCAGGGATGCTTCAGAGAAAAATTTGGAATTTACCAGCTGAACCTAAAAGCAGACAGAAAACTCAGGGGGATTTACCTGTGGTAGAGAGCTCCTCCCACCTGGCATTTCACCACACAAGTCACCAGGAAGTAGCTTTGCTGTGCAGGCTCAGAGTCACAGCAGTACAATTAGCAAATCAAGACTGAAGTAGTTAGGTCTGTGGCAATTGTAATGGGGCAAAGGAGGAGTTCATCAGACTTTTACCTGAAATTCTGGCCAGGGATGTCTCCTGTCCTTTAGCTGTATATAGTCTCGGGTGACATCGAGTTTAAGGTTCCTAGAATTTATGTTAGCCCCCAGACCCTCCAGGTGCTGCTACAGAGTCTACAGATCTGGTCCCATCCACGGCAGCCTCTTTCCCTTAATAACTACTATATAAAAGTCACATGATACTCTCCCAAAGAGCCGGATCTCAACCCCACCCCACCCCAGGTCCATTGCAGCTTGACTGCAGTCACGTAGTAACTCAGCCCCGCTCCCCTATCCCGGGTCTCTGTGACCCCTGTCATGTAGCATCGGTCACATATTAACCAAGCTGCTTCTTCACCGTCCAGGATCCCTCAACATGAAGCAGAGGGAGCTTCTCTGGCTTCCCCAAGTATTCCCAATATTTAGTTTCTGAAGGTGAAGCTGAGTGTTTGCACCATGCAAGGAAGTAGACACTGTTCCCAAAGTTCACTCCACTTCTCTGACCGAAGAACTCAAGGAAGCCTGCCTGCTTGTTGCGGGGTCTGAGAGTCTTTGAGAACAGAAATGCAAAGACCAACACAAGCTGGAGACCAGGCCTAGGAGGGGAGAGTCTTGGGTGAGTCCTACACAGGCAAAAATATCCAAGAATCTGAAGCTTAGGGTGGTTCCATTGCTTCTAACTCCACATTAGAATATTCAGTCACCGTCATCTGCCTTTGATCACGACAACAGCTCCTTGCTCGGTCAGAGGAAATAGAGAAAAGACCGAGAAATAAAGGGCTCAAGCTGGAAACTGGAATGTTCTTGTCAGCACTTTGAGAAAGCTAACAGATGGGAAGCGTTTTGCCCACTCTTTAATAAACATGTGCTGATTTCGGCAAAGAGTTGTGAAATCCCACAGGGTCTCGAAAATACCTCGTCCTCTATCATCTCAGAAGCTAAATATGAAATAACTAAGATGACCCAAAGCATGTGAGTGTCTGAGATACATGCTAAATTTAAAAATAGAGAGTTCATTTGATCAAATTATAGGTCTTTCCCCACTAAGTTTTCTGTGTGTGTGTGTGTGTGTGTGTGTGTGTGTGTGTGTGTGTACACACGCATGCATGTTTGTTGGGAAGAATCTAGAAAATTGACTTGAAGCACAGGTGTTTGAAAGATTGAGTACAAAAACAACATCTGTAGACGAATCGCTAAACAGTTGTACAATAAAAAATACAGAGCCAGAAATTAGGGTTAAAACCTGAGAGCTCAGAGGAATAGGAAAAGCCACAGCCACGTCTCCTCTCACCAACTCCTCAGCTTCCAAAGAGACCTACTTCCTGTCTACCCACGCCTATATGCCTTTCTGTTCAGCCATCTCATTTCCTCTCTCCACCCAGCTACATCACCTCCTGTCTGTCTGTACAGACCTCCGGACCTTTATGGTTAACTAGTGTTGGAATTCAAGGCGTGTGCCATCACGCCTGGCTCTGTTCTTAGTGTGGCCTTGAACTCACAGAGATCCACCTTCCTCTGCCTCCCGAGTGATAGGATTAAAGGCGTGCGCTACCATTGCCTGACCTCTATGTTTACTACAGTGGCTTGCTTTTTCCCTCTGATCCTCAGATAAACTTTGCTAGGGTGCACAATATATTGGGAGAAACAAAGTATCACCCACCACAAGCATCTGCTGACCAACTTTAACAGAGATGCCAGTGGGGTGGCAAGTATTTGGGGGA